ATATATATATATATATATATATATTAGGGCTGTCAGTTGATTAAAATGTAATTTTTTTTATCTGATTATTTACATGATGTTGATTAATTTAATCACAAATTAAATTTGGCTGTGAAACTACCCACAAAAGATCATTTAAAGCCATTATTGCGTTAAATGAGAAAGTATCAAGTAGACATTACAAATAGTAGCTTTAGAAAGAAATCTTTTATTTGATTTAAAATAAAATTTGTTACAAATAAACGTTTTGGCTAAAACAGTCTAACATAAACTATGGAACATAAAAGAAGATAGATCATAAAAGAAGAAACATCTCAGTATTTTTGATCATAAAATGAAAGTCATTGGTAACCAAAACAGATTGATTACCAACAGTCTTCAAAATACCTTCTTTTATGTTGTGCAAAAGTCATACAGGTTTGAAACGACATGAGGGTAATTGATGACAATTAAAATTTTTGGGTTAACTATATCTTGTTTAATCTAATGTTTTTTTTAAAGGGGTCATATGATGTTGCAAAAAATAACATTATTTGGTGTATTTGTATAATGAAATGTGTTTATGTGGTTTAATTATTAATTATTTTCCACATACTGTACATTATTGTTTCTCCTCTATGCCCCGCCTTTCTGAAACGCGTCGATTTTTACAAAGCTCATCGTTCTGAAAAGCGAGGTGTGCTCTGATTGGCCAGCTATCCAGTGGGTTGTGATTGGTCAAATACTTCAAGTGTGTGACGGAAATGTTACGCCCCTTACCCTACTGTGATGCCTTGTCCCGGCCGAAGCGACGAAACAAAAACATTAAAACCCATTATAAACTAGGCATTCGTTACATTCAGTGGGGACATAATTACGGATTATAATGACTTGTACTGTCTTTTCAAATCTTCCCACATCGTGACATAGACATGTTAGAACGAGCTGTTTTAGGTAGGCATGGTTGACTCTTAACTTTTATAAAGAATATCTCTTTGGATTTGAGACTTTAGTCTTTGCAACTTTACAGATCTTCTTTATGCACCAAGAGCTTGTAACACTTCAAAGAAAAAGGAAAAATTTAAATCGCATGGTATGACCCCTTTAATGAAATGATACTCTAAATAAGAAACTAAAACTACCAGCAGGGGGCGGTAAATGTCTTTGAGTCAGGCTATTGAATCATTGGTTCCCAACTAGCCCTAATATATATATATATATACACAAGGGAGGCAGTGGTGTCTCCTCTCCTCAAAAGTGGATGAGAAAATAATTGATATATTACAAAAATAAAACAATGCAAATATGACTAAATATGACATTAAAAGTTTAAAAGTCACTCGTTTTTATAAAGTAACACTGTCCAACATCGACATCGAGGTAATGCCGAGTTTACACTGCACAATTTTCAAAGACGTCGCATCACTGTTGGTTTCACACTGAATGACTATCTGGGACAGCATTCAGTTGTTGCTGTGTTCACACTGCACGATGGAACAACGACAGGAGGTTGCACACTGCATGACTTTACAATAGGAAGAATCGGGGGGGGTTTGGCGGGGTTCTCCTGGTACAATTCACATTCCAGGGCCTAAATATCACGTTATTGGGGTCGCTTCAACCTGCTGACATGAAAAACAACCGGCGGCAATCGCGGATTTGGTAACACTGTTCCGCAAACTACGTTTCATATAACTCCTCCCCGAACTTTCCGCTGCCCTGTATCTTGGTCTTTCATTGGCTGTAGGTCCTCGCCGTTTTTCAGTCAGAACTCATTTCACACAGCGTGATTGTGAATTGCCGACAGCTCCAGATATTTAGCATGTCAAATATTTCACGGGCGTCGGTGACGCATCGGCGATTCCCTCAGATCGCATCGTTGATAATTCACACTGCGTGATTGTCACTCGCGTGAACGAGCACCGATTTGCCTCTGATTTTGGGCATTTGTCGGTGATTTCGCAAAACCTGTCGGCAAGTGAAAAATCGGGCTGAAATCGTGCAGTGTGAACTCGGCATAAAGTTACAGCTGGAGGCTTGCCTCCCTTCGGTCCATAGACTTTCTACAGAGACCCTAAAGCGTGCCGTGACTTTTCTGGAGGCTCATTGAGATGAATGGGGGAAAGTCACGTGAGAGGAGGCAATGCCTTCGTCGCGCTATAACTGGATATGATCGGTTATGATTGGAAGTGATTGGTTCGTGTGATAAATCCCGCCTCTTGTTTTCGTGCAAGCTCTCGGCCTGAATGTAGAAAATTATGGCGTTATTGACTAATTATAAAGTAAACAAACAACTCTCCTGCTTTGTGTCACATCAAAATGAAACATGAAATGACTTGATGTGATGTGATGACTTGATGTGATGTGAAAACGTGATGACTGTGTCAGTTTTTAGTGAGCATTCAGCTTGATGAAATGAAAGATGTATCTTCGTGTCTGTGTCAAACTTTACAGGGCTTTTATGATGATGACCCAAAAGTGTCTATTTACAAGTGCAAATAGCCCGCCTTGTTGGCAGAGGCTATTTACACTAACTCCGGCCATCAACGTGTGAGTACAAAGCATTACAAAAGACTATCGTCTAATAACAGCTCCAGTGGCGCAGATGGTAAAGTTGTGTTGAAGTCGTTTTTGACATTTTGCCGAACTTTTTTTTCTTCTACTTTTTCAAATCAGATATCACGTCGTTATTATTATTGCATATTGTTTTATAATGTACTACAATACTGAGGTGCAGATAATTGCCACTATCTGCAATATGTAGTATAAATAGCAGAAAATCCTGCTAGGTGTAAATAGAATCTATGGCTATTTGCACTTAGTGTAAACATTAAGTCTAACAAGGACATGAATTATATATATATATATATATATATATATAATTCATGTAGTATATATAACTGCCTCCTCATTTTAAAACACCACCGCACGCCACTGATTAAATAAATAAATAAGTGTGTGTGTGTGTATACACACACATTCACACACACATATAGTTTTGTATTAAAGATGCTGTAAATATCAAGCAGTAAGTATAACCATACAGTACATACCTGCTGTTGGACCCAGTGCTGCTTTAGCCCCTGCCAGTGTGAGAAGCCCCTGCCAGTGTGAGAAGCCCCCCCTCTCTCAGGTGTTTGGTTGCTAGGTGACTGCAAATCTTGGAGGTCCACACACTCTGCTTCCACATCAAATCAGCAATGTTATACAGAGCTGAGGTTTAGAGAATACATTTATACAAATTATAAACTAATATAATAACAACTGAAAATATTCACTTTAAGAACAGAATTAGACTTTAGAGTGCCCCCTTTTGACAATACAGTCACAAACGGCTTACATTTCAAGAACTCAATGCCAAAAAAAAAAATTACACTCGCATAGCTAGAATGTGAATGCATTTGCGTACAGTATAATTCATGCCTTTACATTGAAAATGTGACAAAGTCGAGATTTAGCATGTCATAGATCAGTGGTTCTCAACCAGAGGGCCTCACCAAACTTCCAAAGGACATGACTTAAAACTATTTAAATGTAAACATTATTATTATTAATGTAATTATTTTGAACAATATCATTAAGATATTTAAATATAGGCTAATTTAATTAAAATGTAAAAAAACAAACATACAATCACTATTCAACAATTTTACTGAATAACACAACATACAGTTCTTGAAACTTCTGGAAGCACAAAGTGAATTTTGGATATTTCAGTTTTTCTTTTTTAATAAATCTGCAAAAATGTCAACAATTCTGTGTTTTTCTGTCAATATGGGGTGCTGTGTGTACATTAATGAGGAAAAAAATTTACTTAAATGATTTTAGCAAATGGCTGCAATATAACAGAGTGAAAAATTTAAGGGGGTCTGAATACTTTCCGTACCCACTGTATATGGAGATTTGACACTCAGTTTCTGTTATATATAATATTGTGTTTGTGTGTATACAGTATGTTATATATTATATAAAGGGCCTTCAAATATTGCGTTTGACAGTGGGAGTGTATTTATTAAGCATGTACTAACTTTAAGGCCTTGGCACTGCTGCCTGCCCAGCCTCCAGCCACACACAAGATGGCATCAACCTTATCCTCACCTAACAGCTCACTGACATCAGATGTTACCTAAATAAAAAAAGAAAGGCAGAGATGTAACATGCTTGAAGACAACACATGAAATTAAGAATCAAAGCCAGACCAATAACTCAGACAATATTCATGAATATTAGCATTAGCCATTAATAATTCCTAATTAAATTGGCAAAAAAAACGGTAGTAGCACCTACCTGGTTGGCTTGCTCAGTGAAGGATTCAGTCATCTTAACTGTAACATTGGCACTGGCTTCTTCATTGGCACTGAAATCTATAGAGGCAACCCACAGTAAATTACAAAACACAACTGAAATTAAATTATCCACCTTATTGACATATGACAGGCCACAAGAAATGTATATTTAAGGATAAATGCATGACACCGTGACAACTGTGACAAACGAATGAATAATTAACAACATTATCACTAAAACCCATGGAGCATGTCTGATGGCACACTAGAGAGCAATTTCTTTTTAATTACGTGAGCTGTCTTATGGGCTGAGACAACTCACCCAGTTTTTAGCTCTGAAGTACTGCACACATGCAGATCCTAGAGCCCCTTTTCCACCGTAAACAATCACTTTTGGGGCTTCTGTAGCTGCCATGCTATTTCTTTCTTCAGAAGCACATGAGACCTTGTTATACAAAGAAAACAGCACATGCGCCTCCTACTGTTAAAGAGGAGAGGAGCAATCAGAATTTTACTAGCGTTGGTTTTTCAAACCTTTTAGCGTGTTTGTATGAATCTTCCATTCGTTTTTTTAACTATTAATTTTTTTAAATCAGTTTATTGTTTGACAATATTCACTAATACCAGTAAATTTGCATTTTGTGCATCGCAACAGATGTAATAATCCTTTTGACCAACAGGCGGCACTGGAGTTCTGTGCCAATCACGATTAAAAACAAAGAAGGAGAGACTCGTTCTTCCGCAGGAAATTCGTGTAGTCGTGTAGCATCGCTAGCATTCTGTGACAAGCTTCCCATTTAGCGTCTTCACTGAGTTGACAGCATATCGTCACTGAAAATAATATTTAAGCTTTAGCTGAACTGTTTCTCTCTGAGAGAGAAGGCAGTGAGATATTCAGGTAACGCTCAGAACTACGAGATGTGTTGCTGCATGTTTTTATGTGATGTAACGTTAACATGTTTCTGGCTTATTTGTTAATTGCGGATATTGTGATTTTATTTTTACTTATATTGAATGTCTTTACAAATATCAAATTTTACACGTGTTAGATATTTAATATCCACTCGGCGTTGACTGTAAATAAGCAATTTATCTCCGTATGTTGGAGGTGGATAAACTTCCATCTGGCCTCAAATATCTCTAATAGACTGTGCATTAGATTCTCTCATCTAAAGGCGAGAGATGAAAGTAATGGTTACACAGTCAACATCCACCTCTATCTATAAATTTATAGTTATATAACAATTCTTTATAAACCTAAAAAGTGTTTGTTTTTAAATGAGTTAGTTGGACCACCAGATATTGAATGAAAACCAGCCAACGTATCTATGTGGAAACTGGCTGATTATGACTATGGCTTTACTATTATTGGTACTTTAATTATTTAAAAAATATAATTATATATAAAAAAATATCCTTCCAGACCATTGTCAGGTAGTGTATATCAGCTCGGCAGATGTTACGGTTTTATTTTCAATTGGTAGTTTAATAGCGCATTGATTTGTGGATATATTTTGTCATGTTTTCAAGTATTGGTTTAATAGTGTACTAATTCATAGTTTTGGCTTGCACCATACTAGTCAAACAAGCCAAACCTGCTGTAGCATTTGTGTGATGTAGAACCTTGCTTTATTAATTTGCTAGCATTATTTATAATGTCATTTCAAATAAATACATTCATTTATATAATTTTATACACACTCAAAGTCAGTTGAATCAAATTATTAACCGTGTTGTATGTGTCTAGGATGGATAAAGCTCTGCTGAGAGAGCGAGAGCTCTTTAAAAAGAGAGCTCTGTCCACTCCTGTAGTTGAGAAGAGACCAGCACCCTCTGAGGCCTCTGGATCCTCCAAGAAGAAAAAGAGTAAACCAGACAAAGAGACGTCGTCATCCTCCAAAAACAGCACAGGTCAGAGAGTAGATGTGTTATGTTATTTCTTTTTCAAATAAATGCTGTTCTTTTGAACTTTCTATTCATCAAAGAATTGAACCATGAATAAAAGAAAATTAATCCTGGTTTCTGCAAACATATTAAGAAGCGCAACTTTTAATAAATAATGAATGCTTTTTGACTGCCTAATCAGCATATCGTAATGGTTTTTTAAAGATCATGTTACGCTGAAAGCTAGAGTAATGGCTGCTGAAAATTCAGCGTTGCCATCACAGGAATACATTTACATTGACAGATAAAATCATCTTTCAAAATTGTTTTTTTTTTTTTTTGTACCAACCCCAGACTTTTGAATGGTAGTGTATGTCGACCTCTTCTATTACATATGATGATATTTATTGTATTGATGTTTTGGCATTATTTAAATAGCATCAGCATTTCTAAACCATTACACTTATGTTTTTGGAAGATGCTGAAACATTAACAATATAACAAAAAAGTAGCTGAAGCTGCTTGGACTAGGACTTTATTGCTTTTGGGAGCCTGATGTGTTGCAATCTGAATTACTGAAGTACTTTTCTCAAATGAATGAAAGCATCCTCATATCAGCGTCATCTTCTCTTCTCATCCTGTTTAAAGTAAAACCAGTGTCAGTAGCTAGAATGACATTGAGGATTCTTAAATTATGGCAGTGAGCCTAACAAGTACAAACAGGATATATAAAATTTTTTATGGATTGTCACCCAAGCAAAGCTTGTGATACTGGGACTGTCCTGGGCAGGGCTGCAGTTAGCAAAACCTTCATCATGGGCCTCCCGGCTGATGTCTGCTCAGCCTTTATTTTATTTATTTTCGGCGTTTTGCCTTTTTATTTAGGTTGGACAGTGTAATGACAGGAAGCATTGTAAGTCGGCACGCTGTCCACAAGGCTTTTGGCGCCTACCAGCTTTTGTTTGTGAGAGTTACCCAAGTAGATAGTCATAAAAATAGAGTATTATGAGGATTATATGAGAACGGAGTAGTACGTTTTGATTGGAGATGGACTGATATGACCTTTTTGATATAGAAAGTTGTTTAATTGTTTGATAATATATATGCAGAACAGATTTAATTATTAAAGGCAATATTAATAATATAATAATAATAGTAACACTAATGATTGCTGTTGTGTGTGTTATATTTATGCTAAGTTGTTTTTGCACTCTGAATTTTTGCCATGATAGTTTTGGGTTTTACATTTAGAGTTACATAAGTTATTTTAAAAGTTGAGTAATTACCCCGACTATATATTTTAAAAAGTGACTATACCTGTGAATGTACTGTTGTTGGGTGCTTTAATTTAGAGCCCCACCAAAAAGGTGCTGTTTATTGGTACAAAATATTAATAAAACCAATAACCAGCTATGTTGAAAATTTTGAATATCATTAAAAAAATATAAATCATTACATTATCAGTCTTTATCTCTAGCTCTCATGGTGTCTTGTGTATTTTAGGCCAGTAATATTGACTGCACGCCTTATTAAAGGTGTAGTCTAGTTCTTGTATGTGATCAGAGTCGAGCAAACTCAAGCACAGGCCTGTTTCTGCACGTTTTGAGCATGTAGACAGATTTAAATGTACTGTTAGCAGCTGATGATATCTTCTGTGACCCTGATGGGAATAACACATTTCTCATGCTTGTATGATTTTTTTTTTATTATATAATTTTAAATACACAATTTTAAGGCAGTGCAAAGATGCAATTATTGGCCTTTAATGTGCTTCTTGATGTAGATAGAACTATTATTATTCACATATTAAATCTCACAAAAACGTACACATACAAACATTCCCTTTACTTCAAACGTGTGTGCTATTTGCTTTAAGTAGTAGAATCATAATGTATGTAGAATATTAATTCTATAATACTGACATTGTCACAAACTTTGTCATCCCACACAAAGGGAAAAATTCATGTAAACACATCTAAAAAAATACAACAGTTTCATGTAGTCATCACACAATGGTACCGGAATACTGAATGCAGACTATAAGGAGACAATGAGCATACAAGCAAGTGTTTCCCTCTCTTTCTGGTCTAAATGTAATATTTTAAGCCATGGAGACACCTGTGCTGTGTATTGCTGTTAGAGCTAGTGGGAGTAGAGGGCTTCTGTCTCTGTATGTGTCTGGTGTGTTTTAAGGGTCTCCAATCTGACGAAGAGCTCCGTCCAAATCTGCAGCCTTTTCCACCAATCTACTGTTGTGGTTCCTATGGAGACTGTGTCCGCTGTCACCATGGTTACAACTAAACCACTTCGTCTCGCTGGCGGCGCAGGTCACGAACGGTTTTGGTTTTGGTGAAACAGCCGCAGTCCAGCAGCTCATAGAGGAATGCCAGTGTGGCGAGGGAGAGGATGGTGAGGATGAAAAGGAGGAGGATGATGAAGCAGGCAACATTCCAGCCGTCGTGAAAGGGATAGATCTGCTGGATCAGAGCAGAACTGCTGGACATGTTCATACTGCAGAGACACCAATAAATAGTCAGTTATTGAAGAGGAATGTGAGCAATGGGAAAAAGATTGAGTGTGGGTAGGAATAAAGATGGAGGCAGGGTGATTGACAGATTGAATGGTAATTTCTTCGTACTGCTTTGTGCTTTTTTGTGGTGTTGATGGAAAAAGGACTTCCATTAGAGCATGATGAAAGTTTTTTCATACAGTGCTTTAGCTGTCAGTCAGAAATCTTTGTTTGTTACATTGCAACCCACTCTTTTTGAGTATCTTGCGGCATTAGTTTAGGTTTACAATACACCATGTGAAGTTAAAGAGAGTTCAATTCTAGTTTGATCACCCGTGTCTTTGGCACCCATGCTTCTGTTACACTCTATCTAGCTGTTTTAGTCTAGAAAGTTTGTTCTAGTCTGTCCTTAGAAATAGAAATGCACCTTATTGGGATCAGTTTAACCCCAAATCAGAATAATTATTCAGGAATTTCTTAAGATTTCATTAGCTGATTATTTGGTATTGTCATAAAATTGCATCTACTGTTTGTGCTAATGCTAAAATTATTATTATTATATTTTTAAAATCATTTTAATTCAGTATAAGTTACTTTTAGGTTCATGCATCTAAAAATGACACTACCATTCAAAAGTTTTTATTTTGTAATTTATGAAAGAAGGTTCATGCATATTAAGGCTGTATTTATTTAATAATTTTTATTTTTATTTTACAACAGTAAGCTGTTCTATGTTAATATATTTTAAAATGTCAATTTATTCCTGTTACAGCAAATCAGAATTTTTAGCAGCTGGTACTCCAGTCTTCAGTGTCACATGATTTTTCAGAAATCATTCTAATGATTTGGTGCTCAAGAAATATTTCTTATTATTAATCGCTGTTGAAAATGGTTGTGCGGCTTCATATTTTTGTGTAAACCATGATGCATGCTTCTTTGATGCATTGCAAATTCAAAACAGCATAATTATTTTTTGTAACAAGTCCTTTACTGTCAATTTGATGTATTTAATGCACTCTTGCTGATTAAAATTAATTTTGTTTAAAAAAAAAATCTTAATGACCCCAACATTTTGAATGGTAGTGTACTTTGATAGGTTCAAATATTCCTTGCTAAACACTTGTTATATTAGCCCAAAAAGCATGTACAGATATAAGAAAGTACAGTTTTCAGAATCCAGGCAGCTTTAGCATCCTATTTTTTTAGTCTACTTTGGTTTGGGATGGAATAATCCTTATCTTGAATATTATGTAGGACAAATTGTATGCAAAATGCAATGGTGCTATACTAGAGAAATGAATTTAGATGAATCAGCTGACCTAGTTTGTTTGAGTGGACATTGTGTGTGTTGTGTAGGTTTAGGTCAGAGTGGAAGCTAATGTACAACACATTCTATTATGTAGCTTAAGGCTTAGATAATTTGTTTTACTTGTGTAGTGTTTGAAGTTCATTCTGATGATCTATGGTATTCTGTATTACATAGGTCACAAAAGTAGGATCTGTGCACATCAGGAATGCAACTTTAGGTGTAGTTAGGTTAACAGTAACATGAGCCATGCGAAAGCTTTTCTCATGCGTGTCTGATTGTGCACATGCGCTTCTACAGGAATACAGCTTCACTTTCGATCCAACCATGACTCACAGAAGAGAGTTCCTCCATCTCCAGAAAGATTTAAACTTCTTTTCACATTAATTTATTCAATATGAATGTTTTTTATGTTTATTAAAAAAAAATTAAACCTTAATTAACTCTTGTAGACTCCGTCGAACAGTCTCGACGGAAACAGACAGATGGCTCCTGCTTGTCCTGCTCCACCCCCAGCATCTTTTAGTATGGTGCTACCATTTCTTTCAAGCCCTTTTCTAATGTTTGTCTCTTTTGAGAATTATAAATGCTAATAATGAATGAGATTTTCTTGTTACATTTTCCGTGCACAATCAGTTTGATACTCTGTGGTGTAATGATCTAGAATTGCACAGTCAGCTTTCAACTGTCTTGATCCTGCATGTGTGTGTACGAGTAACATTTCTGACCAAGATCTGATGCTTGGATTACCTTTTACATGTTTGTGACCCAGTATGTGCATACATTTTAGTTATGGTCGCACAGCTTTGTCATGCATATTCTCAATATGAAGAGTCAATTACTTAAGGAATCCATTGACATTTATATAAAACAGAGATGGTGGTGTTTTAGTCTGCGTGAGTATTATTTTGCATTGTGTTGTGATTTATAAAAGCAGGACATACCTGGGTGTGAGTGTCTGGGATGCAGGGTGATGGAGCAGCCTCTTGTTCGTCTGTGTGTTGTCTTTCTTGCCACTCACGCTCTCTCTCTCTCCCTGCCCCACCTTTTTCTGGAACCGTGTATTGCACTGGCTGTTCTGAGTCTCTACTCTGACACCATTGGCTGGCTGTCCTGTCTTTCAAAGTATCAGCCATCCAACCTACTGTAACGCATCTGCTCTCAGCATTAGGTCCCGCCCACACGATGAATCATTCATGAGTCAGTGCCAAGATGCGGCTGAGGCTGGCTGTGCTCCAGTTGCCAGGGTTTGAGAGCAGGGTGTGGAGGAGGAAGAGGATGTGATGCTAGAGCTATATGAACCGAGGAAATTATTCCTTTTACCATGGTTACAAGGAGCTTGAGATGGAGAAAACTATGGGTGAAAGCAGGATGAGCTCTGACAATCAAAAATAAAATGTGAATTATGACGTCATTGTTTGTCCAGGTTTGCATTAGATTCAAGTAGAGCTGGGACGATATGGCCAAAAAAATTATCATGATTAAACTTTTCATATCGGTCGATATTGATAATTATCTTGATAAATGTCAAATCTTTATTTCTTTCAAGTTTAAAGGCAGATTTTGTTCTCGTGAGTGAAAGTTGTAGAAATCAGTTCATTATGGTTTTAAACTCCAAACAGGTGAACATTTCACAAATCTGAGGTACAATATTCAAAGCACTTATAATAATACTATTTTCTCTACATCAAAATATGCTTGAATAAACTTATAGTATAATCCTTATCAGTCCTTTTTCCCTGACAAAATATCTTAATAGAGAAATTAATTTCTGCATGTCTAATGGGTGATATTGTTTTAAATCATGAAACGGGTTTTTGTTTCCTGATTTTGATGACATGATGCAGATGTAAATTTGTTCATTAACAAAAACAATGACATCTATAAAAATTGTAACAACCTCATATTAGGGTAAAAATGTAAATATTCTGACTGCACCTCACTACCATTACTCCTGACATTTAATACATGTCTACATTAATAATATAATAAAATGCCATATGTATATCACACTTTTCAGTGAGCTTTATGTAATATTTACTACAATAATTGATTTGCTAGAAATGAAATCAAAAGTTGAAAGTTTTTCAGAATCATACATTTAAAAACAAACTGAGCTCCAACCACAGCGTTCGCTATTTTATTGTCACAGAATCAAATACACAGGATATCAAAGGGAGTGTAGGATACATCTATGCATCCTTCAAAAACTGATCAGATGGACAGGATGTGAGACAATCATAGAATTCTGACGTGCCTCGATGCCTTCCTACCTCTGTATGCTGCCTGCAGAGGCAGCATTTTCAGCTTTCAGACACAGCATAAAAATAGCATAATTTGATAATGCATTTTTTTTTCGTATAAGCAACCGGTCATCTCTGATTTGTTTCACTAACCTTTAGTGCATAAAAAGTTGCTTCATTTTGAGACCTCACTGAAAGTAATGAGAACTTGCACTCACAACAACTGAGTGTTTTTGAACAATTTATTAAAAGAACCAGCTCAATTTATTTGTGAGCCAGTCAGCCAGACTGTACTGGTTGTGCTGTATATTTATTTTTGTGTACAACCCACAGGGACATGTCAGTAGAAAAAGGTGTTACTTTGCCATTATTTTGCAGTACACAATCTTTAAACTTTGATTTGAATCTGACTGCAAGCTCATATTAACAACTTTGGTAAATCTGATTTTGTGGTGTTATAGATTTAGAAACAAAAAGCGGTGCAGGAAATTCTGAATGTGTGTCTAAATTAGTATCTTATTATAACTGAGTATTGTTCACTGGCCTAGTTACACTGGCGATGATATAAATAAATAAAAATGTCCAAATTCGGCCCAATTAGCCATTTTCTCTCCCCGGTGTCATGTGACTTGTTAGTGTTACGAGGTCTCGGGTGTGAATGGGGAGCAGGTGTGTTAAATTTGGTGTTATCGCTCTCACTCTCTCATACTGGTCACTGGAAGTTCAACATGGCACCTCATGGCAAAGAACTCTCTGAGGATCTGAAAAAAATAATTGTTGCTCTACATAAAGATGGTGTAGGCTATAAAAAGATTGCCAAGACCCTGAGACTGAGTTGCAGCACGGTGGCCAAGACCATACAGCGGTTTAACAGGACAGGTTCCACTCAGAACAGGCCTCGCCATGGTCGACCAAAGAAGTTGAGTGCACGTGCTCAGCGTCATATCCAGAGGTTGTGTTTGGGAAATATACGTATGAGTGCTGCCAGCATTGCTGCAGAGGTTGAAGGGGTGGTCAGCCTGTCGGTGCTCAGACCATACGCCGCACACTGCATCAAATTGGTCTGCATGGCTGTCGTCCCAGAAGGAAGCAGTTTCCTTTTTCAACAGTTTGCTGAAGACAAGCAGACTAAGGACATAGATTACTGGAACCGTGTCATTTCTTCAGTGTTGTCACATGAAAAGATATAATAAAATATTTACAAAAATGTGAGGGGTGTACTCACTTCTGTGAGATACTGTATATACACACAACAGGAAAAAAACCACATCTACTATGCTAGGTTTCTTTTCATTTATTTTGAACAGACAGTATTCTTTAAAAAAAATTCCACCTAGATGTGAAAATACTAAATATTATGTTAAATTATAATGTTATATAAAAATATAATGCAAAGGGGAAAAAACAGTACGACACGTAACGTAGCCTATATATGCTGAGTTTCAGTTCATTTTTGTGACACGCTTAAGTTGTTCACAGAAAGGAAACTCAAATGGCAGAAAGCGACATCCTATTTGTTTTCTTTATTTTACAAAAGCACAATGTTTTGTTTTCATTGTGAGTGTACACAAATAAAAGTAGACCTTTTACAGTGCTGCATTATTAATAAGACAATAAGTGTTTTAAGTTGATTCTGCTGGTATAAGGAAACAGTTGACGTAATCGCGCTGGTGCACACACACAAAACATGTCAGTTCCAGCATTGCTAACTTCAGCGCAGGTGGTACTTTATCAAAATAAAATACAGTGAACCAAACATCAACACGCCTGCCTCTTTGTCACCGTTGGAATGGAAATGAAGAACAAGGCCTATTATTTACATAATAAATAATAGTTTACAAAGGAAAGTAACATACAGGATAGTAATAATAGTAATACTAGGATAGTAATAGTAACAAAGGAGACAAAAATATATACATATACTATATAATCTAAAAATGATCCGGTGTTAAATATTTGTGAGTGGCAAGAGTATGTGAATCTTTGATTTCAGTATCTGGTGTGACCCCCTTTTGCAGCAATGACTGCAAGTAACATTTCTTGTAACTGCTGATCAGTCCTGCACAATGGCTTGTAAGAATTTTAGCCCATTCCTCAGTACAGAACCCCTTACACTCTGTGATGTTGGTGGGTTTCCTCCTATGAACTGCTTGTTTCAGGTCCTACCTTGGAATTTGACTCTGTCATTCCAAAACATTAACTTTGTTCTTCTTTAACCATTCTTTGGTAGAATGACGTGTGCTTGGGGTCGTTGTCTTGCTGCATGACCCATTTTCTCTTGAGATTCAGTTCTTGGGCAGATGTCCTGACATTTTCCTTCAGAATTTGCTGGTATAATTCAGAATGCATTGTTCCATCAATGATGGCAAGCCATCCTGGACCAGATGCAGCAAAACATGATACTACCACCGCCATGTTTAACAGATGGGACAAGGTTCTTATGCTGAAATGCAGTGTTTTCTTTCTCTAAACATAATGCTTCTCATTTAAACCAAAATGTTCTATTTTGGTCTCATTTATTCACAAAACATTTCTCCAGTATTCCGCTGGCTTGTCCACATGATCTTTAGCAAACTGCGGATGGGCAGCAATGTTCTTTCTGGAGAGCAGTGGCTTTCTTCTTGCAACTCTGCCATGGACACCATGGTTGTTCAGTGTTCTTCTGATGATGGGCTCATAAACATTAACATAAGCCAATGTGTGAGAGTCCTTTTGTTGCTTAGAAGTTAGCCTGCAGTCCTTTAAAACCTAGTGGACTTTTTAACGTCTTGCTATTAGAGTGTTGTTTGTTGGTGGACCACTCCTGGGGAGGGTAACAGTGGTCTTGAATTTCCTCCATTTGTACACAATCTGTCTGACTGTGGATTGGTGGAGTCCAAGTTCTTTAGAGATGGCTTTGAAACCTTTTCTAGCCTGATGAGCAACACCAACTCTTTTTCTGAGGTCCTCAGAGATCTCATTTGTTTGTGCCATGATACACTTCCACAAAGTACATGACCAAACTTTGACAGATCCCAGTTCTTTAAATAAAACGGGGCACACACTGACACGTGATAGTCATCTCACTGATTAAAAACACCTCTGAACAGATGGACTCTAATTTCACCTTCAAATGAACAGCTAATCCTAGAGATTCACATACTTTTGCCGCTCACAAATATGTAATATTGGATAATTTTCCTTAATAAATAAATGACAAAGTATATATTTTCATTTGTTTGATTGGGTTCTCTTTGTCAACTTTCAGGACTTGCATGCAAATCTGATGATTTTTTGGGTTATATTTATGCAGAAATATAGACAATTCTAAAGGATTCACAAACTTTCAAGCAGCACTGTATATGGGTAAATGATGTGACGCCTAAATTTTCTGTCCAATTGCATTATTTCAGTTAAAAATTGGTTTAAATGCATAAAAAAGATGCTGTGTATATAAGAAGTATCTCCCACATATGTACCAACTTTAACTTTTCAAAAAAACATTAGTTATTTGTAATTTTTCTGTTATTCAAAGTGTCAAAACATCATGTGGTGTGACCGTCCAGCCATAACTGTTGTTTTGGAAACATTTTTGAAAATACCCTAAATTTATTCAGATAAATTTTCTGCACTATTTGGCTTGACTCCAAAGGGTTTTGTAATCCTATATACAATTGCGAAGAATTTGCATTTATATTTCCATCATAACATTCAAACAAACTTTGTCCAATAATCTCCATTTTATGAAATATCATGTGGTGCAACCATAAAGAAACTACCATTTTGGGACTTTTATGTTGAA